TAGATACAATAGAACACTCATGGATGCGCTGCAATGTTATACTAGTTCACAACACGACCAATGAAATGCTTTTATTCAACAGATAGCAGGCGTCATCCAATCAAGTGTGAATTGCCAGATCGGATTCACACCCAACATATTAATGCTCAGCTGAGAAACCAACCAACCCGTGGATTTAATGTATCCTTGTGAGATGCGGTTTCAACAAGACGCCATACCATACTTAGCAAATTTGCAGAAGGAAATCGAGAAGGCACATGGTCTGGGCAGAAAATCCCTCGCTACCAACCAGAAGCGAATGAAAAAAGATTATGACCTGCAGGCGAAGCTACATGTCTATGAAAAAGGGGACCTGGTTTACCTGTTCGATACTCTTCAGGTGAAGGGGCAATGTAAGAGGCTATCACCACAATGGAAGGCCACAAGTTCACATCTTGTTTATTCAGGGTCAAACTCTAGCGTGATATTACTATCGTTAATCACGATCGATTGAAGAAATGCAAGGACCGGTAATACCCAGACTGGATTAGTAAATTTAAACAGCGAATGGCACAGGTTCAGGAACAAGTGTCAGTACCATACTAAGATCTTTACTGTGTGTGTAGGCAGCCATATAATGGGAAATTTATGATACAGTGTGATGAGTATGCAGAGTGGTTCCAAGGGACCTGTGTGGGAGCAAGCATTGCGAATGTGCGTTTCATAACAGATTATATATGTCCACAGTGTAGGGAAACACGCCAGGAGTAGGTAGATACATATCGTCCTTGCTGTAATGGCACTGATCCTTACAGACCCCTACTTTAGCCGCACGATGACTACTGAAGGGTCATCGGAGGACTTCTTGGACTGAGTCTAAGCACAATAAGATGGGACCTGCAGGAGAGACTGCAGAAGTTCCTTCAGAGACTACAGGGACAGTAGTCTCATCGGAGGACTTCTCGGACTTTGAATCCAAACACAATAAGATGGGACCTGCAGGGGAGGCTGCAGGAGTATCCACAGGGGTTATGGACGGGAGTCCCAACAGATTCGGATTGGAGTTGGGAAATAGGTTACCCAGCGAATCTGTGTATTGGGGAGGACCTGAGGGCCTCCACAAGTTCCCTTTAGGGAACTTTTACCAGGAGAGGTTGCATTTTTTGATAGCCACTTCAGGGTGAACGATACCCTACAACAAAGTGGATTAATGTCCAGGGAGGACATTCTTCTGCCACATTATGCTGTTAAGAAAATCCTTCTACAGATCACACAGGGGCACCGGGAGCCGAGCGGACAGCACGCTGGACTTGTGATCCTGTGGTCGCGGGTTCGATCCCGGACGCCGGCGAGAAACAATGGGCAGAGTTTCTTTCACCCTATGCCTCTGTTACCTAGCAGTAAAATAGGTACCTGGGTGTTAGTCAGCTGTCACGGGCTGCTTCCTAGGGGTGGAGGCCTGGTCGAGGACCGGGCCGCGGGGACACTAAAGCCCCGAAATCATCACAAGATAACCACAAGAAGATAAAAGATCTTCACCCCCCCCCCTTGCCTTGCCACTATCTTCTGGGGGGAGTTATAGCGTATGTTGATCCCAACAAATACCCTCGGTTTCAATACTCAGTTGGCGTGGGCAATATCCCTGGGAATCCATCCTAGTGATGGACACTCATGTACAGAAAACCTCGCATTTCTGGGCAAATATCTCGACAAAAAACCTTCATTACATTGGGAACAATTGGCCTGGACTGGGGAACAGCCAGTCCAATGGATAAAGACAAACAATATGCCATTTTTAGGAAAATACTCCTGCATGCATCTTTACGTCTCCCTTTAATTATTTCCCTACGTTCAGCTGTAGGAGAGGAATCAGATTTAATATATTTTGCAACGTTAAAGGACCATCAAGAACATTGCGGCTCATCGCAGCCGATGCATATCCGAGCATTCACTGGGAGCAGCTCTATGGTCCGGAATTGGATCTGTTTTTCCCCTGAGCACTTATTTCCGCATGGTGTTGGGGGATAGGCCCCAAACCCAACAGGTAGATATATTAAAAGAAGTCCCTCAAGGGCGGCTTCTACTGGAATCTGTGTGACCAATGATTTCTAGTGCAGGAGAAATTGCCCTTCCATCTCCTGCCTATATTGGAGAAGTGGGAGCACGTGTGACAGATTGGTTAAATGTGGACATTGAACTCTTGGGAAGGATCACTACATAGAATGGCCATAGGTTGTTCGGTCTCGTATAAATTAAAAAAAAAATTATTAGTGTAGTGAAGTGTGTGAAGTATAGTACAGTAGAACCTTGAGTGATGATTGCCTCAAATGGCGAGCATTTTGGGTAACAATCGTCCAGATCGCCAACAATTCGTCTCATATGGCGACCACTCGTTTGAATGACGACAAGAGCACATGGTGGGGTCGCGCTGCTTCTTGCACATTCTCGGACGCCTCCGACGATGCAAATAAATTACTGTGTGTTGTTTTTGTTTAAAGATGCTAATAATGCTGGGATATAAAGGGGTGACTGCTGAGATCTTGCAAAGCAATGACTTTTTTGTAGAAAAAAGATTTCAAATTTTTTGAAATATAACAAATGTCAAAAAGGTTCGTTCAGTGTTCGGCAGGTAGGCTGCTCCATGTTTCTTAAATAAAAAAAAATATAAAAATATAAAAAACAGTTGAAACAATTTGAAAAACGGACAAATGCCATAAAGGTTCGTTCAGTGTTTGTCGGGTAGGCTACTCCATTATTGAAACGTAAATGAAAAATACAAAACAAATGGAACACATCTGAAACAAAGAAAGATTATCATAATGGACCTTTCTCTACCATCTGCAGCTCAACTAGGAAATCAGACAGGGAATCCCAAACTGGCCCCAACCAAGTCCAAACCTGGGATCGAACAAACTGGGACTTCCTCCAGTTCATTCCCTGGCTTGCAGAAATGTTGATTGGCTGGAGGCATAAATTAGCTAGTCAGAGATTGGCCAAGACAATAATCCTCACAAGATGTAATCAAGTCACAACTACCCCACGCTAACCTGGTAAAGATCTGAGGAGCCAGATTAAAGCCAAAAACCTGAAGCCATAACAAATGAAGCCAAGCCATAACCAATGAATAAAGGAGAAATGAGCCCGTAAGGCCTGATAAGCCTCTTGGCTTTATTCTGCTAGAATAGAGACCCAACATTGCAGGTCTCGTGATGGAAGGCATCACCCACCCAATGGGCAGCATGGCGGAGACAATACATGACTAATGACATGTAACAATAGCAACAGACATCTCTCAGACTCACAAGTAGAGTGTGGGCTTGGCAGATTGATCCATAACGAGTCGCACCCAAGACCCACAGGGCTTGACAGGGCCTGAAGATAAGGACCAAACAGGGCACCCAGATACTAGGAATGCTCACTGATATACCTGATACCAAATGCTGCCCTCATGACAAGCATGACTCTGAAGGGCATCAGTGGCATGACATCATACAAGCATGTTTATTGACATATATGAGAGTTTTTACATTTCTTGCAAAGCAACTAGCACGCATAGCATTTTGGGCAGGTCCTTAATCCTAATTTTCCCCGGAATACGACGCCGCCAGGTACCCATTCACTGCTGGGTGAACAAGAAGCTACAGTTAAGGATTGGTGCCGGTCAATTCCCCCCTCCGGCCAGAATACGAACCCAGGCCAAAGTACTCGGTAAACGCCAGGCGAGTGTCTTACCACTGCGCCACGGGGACTAGCATGTGAATGCTAGTGCACCCAAAACAATAAACCTCTGAATGCCCTCTAATCTCAGAGCCTTGCAGGAAAGTCCATGACTTTTGCACTACTCTGTGCGCGACCCTACGCTGAAGGCCGGCCTCTATGGGGATGAATTTCCAAATCCTTCACCTAAGGTCCCCAGTCAGGGAATCACTAGACAAGCACTTGGGGAAAGGCTGCCCTATGCACATGCTGCTCAACTTGAACAGTTTCACAAGTCCATACAATAAGTGAAGCTTGCAAACAAACCCACATGAAACTAACAGTAAATCTTGAAAAGATACATAAGCAAATGGAACCCGCAAAGGAAAGAGTCTAAAAGATGGCCAACGCTTATCTAAAAAATAATTGGGAGCCATAACAGGTACTCAGAGAGAACTCTATCAACATCAGAGGCCCGAGACTGTTCAACACGCTTCCGCTACACATAACTGGCCGACCCCTCACAGTGTTCAAGAGAGAACTGGATAAGCACCTCCAAAGGATACCTGATCAACCAGGCTGTGACTCTTACGTCAGGCTGCGAGCAGCCGCGTCCAACAGCCTGGTTGATCAGTCCAGCAACCAGGAGGCCTGGTCGACGACCGGGCCGCGGGGACGCTAAGCCCCGGAAGCACCTCAAGGTAACCTCAAGGTAACCATAAGGCTGGCGACTCAAGTAGTCCGATCTGTTGGACATCAGACGAAGGACTGAGGATTGTTGACTTGGGGGAGCCAGCAGCTCCCGGTGGTGCTGCCACCTGGCAGTTGCTAGCTGTAACTAGTGGAGGGGTTCGATCTACCTACTTAGGGGTTCATTTGCAAAGTCTTTTTTGCTGCTTTCTTTCTCTTTTTCTCTGTGAACCTTGCAGTTGTTTGTTATGTTCCATTTTTTTCTGTGTGTTTCTTTGGTGAGGGTGACCATAAGAATTCCCTGCTTCCTGTGTCTCTGTGAGAGGGAAGGAAGAAGAGGAGGGGGGGGCTGTGTCAGTGTGGCTGGCTACATGAAATCACCATTTACCCCTCCAGAAAGCCACCAATTACAGTACGCTTATTGCAGCTATGAATTTTTCTGAATGTACGAAGTCACTACCTTTAGTGGCCATGATGGGGACAGGAAGCCCTGAGGTCCACCACATCTAGGGGCCTCGACAGGGACAAAGTTAATGGCTTGTGAAAAGAGGTCCTTCCACCACCACTCCCTCCTTCCTTCTCTCTCTACAGTAACCACATATTACCAGAAAACTTTTTAAGCCGTTGTAACTTACAGTTAACATCTCTGGAGATATTTCTCCTGCAATTTTCCCAACTTTTTCCATAATGCTGGAGCCTAATTCTTCCAGGGAGATGGGGTCAAGTATGATGGCTGCTTCTGTGGTCAACATGGCTTCTCTGATGGTCTCCTGCACCTGTTAATGCCAAATAAAAACAACATTCAAGAACATGTGCAGTCACAAAACAGCAGCAACATTTTCCAACAATCAACCAATCACATGCAATATAATCTAAGATAAGACAGAATATCTGTCTGACCGAAGTCGGAGAATAGAGGCTTGCGGACTAGCCTCCCTCAAATTTGTCAGGGGGCTGCACACTTGGGGGCTAGCCTCAACAACTTTGTCAGGGGCTAGATACTTGGGGCTAGCCTCCCCCAAACTGCTTTGGAGGCTAGATGTTTGGGCTAGCCTCCTCCAACTTACCGGAGGAAGGTTGAAGGGGGGTAGGAGCAGGTTGAGGGGAGATACCTTACCTTGAGGTTACCTTGAGGTGCTTCCGGGGCTTAGCGTCCCCGCGGCTCTTGAACACTGTGAGGGGTTTGCCAGTTATGCCCCTTATGTGTAGCGGAAGCGTGTTGAACAGTCTCGGGCCTCTGATGTTGGTAGAGTTCTCTCTCAGAGTACCTGTTGCACCTCTGCTTTTCAACGAGGGTATTCTGCACATCCTGCCATGTCTTCTGGTCTCATGTGAAGTTATTTTAGTGTGCAGGTATGGGACCAGCCCCTCTAATATTTTCCACGTGTAAATTATTATGTATCTCTCCCGCCTGCGCTCAAGGGGGTACAGATTTTGGCTCTTTAGTTGGTCCCAATAGTTTAGATGTTTTACTGAGTGGATTCTAGCAGTAAAGGATCTCTGCATGCTCTCCAGGTCAGCAATTTCTAAAGCTTTGAAAGGGGCTGTCATTGTGCAGCAGTACTCCACTCTAGAGAGCACAAGCGTTTTGAAATGTATCATCATCGGTATAGCATCTCTAGTGTGAAAAGTTCTTGTTATCCAACCCATTTTTCTTGCAGTTGTGACGGCTACTTTATTGTGTTCTTTAAAGGTAAGGTCTTCCGACATGAGTACACCCAGATCCTTTACATTGCCTTTTTTTCTATGTTATGATTTGCCTGAGTTTTGTACGTGGTTTCCGTTTTTATATTTTCAATTTTTCCATAGCGCATGAGCTGGAACTTATCTTCGTTAAACACCATATTATTTTCTGTAGCCCATAGAAAGACCTGATCTACATCTGACTGGAGATTCGCCGTGTCCACTATGTTGCCTACTCTCATGAAGATCCTAGTGTCATCTGCAAAGGATGATACAGTGCTATAGGTTGTGTTCTTGTCTATGTCCGATATGAGGATGAGAAAAAGTACTGGAGCAAGCACAGTACCCTGGGGGACTGAGCTCATCACGGTTGATGGGCTGGATTTTATTTTGTTGACTATTATACATTGGGTTCTGTTAGTCAGGAAATTGTAGATCCATCTGCCTATTTTACCGGTAATTCCTTTTGAATGCATTTTATGTGCAATAACACCATGGTCACATTTATCAAAAGCTTTTGCGAAATCTGTGTAAATTACATCAGCGTTTTGTTTGTCTTCCATAGCATCTAATGCCATATCATAGTGGTCCAGCAACTGCGACAGGCAAGAGCGCCCTGTTCTGAAACTATGTTGTCCGGGGTTATGGAGATGCTGTGATTCCATGTATTTTGTGATCTTACATCTTAGCACTCTCTCATAATTTTTTATGATGTGCGATGTTAGTGCTATCGGTCTGTAATTTTTTGCCTCTGCCTTATTTCCTCCTTAATGGAGTGGTGCTATCTCTGCTGTTTTTAGAATATCAGGGATAACGCCAGTATCTAGGCTTTGTCTCCACAGAATGTGGAGGGCCTGCGATAGTGGTTTTTTACAGTTCTTGATGAATATGGAGTTCCAAGAATCAGGGCCTGGTGCAGAATGCATAGGCATACTGTTTATGGCTTCTTCAAAATCCAGTGGGGATAGGGTGACGTCTGATATATGATTTGATGTTGGTATCATATCCATGAAAAATTCATTTGGGTTATCAATCTTTAGTGCGTTTAATGGCTCGCTGAAAACAGAGTCGTACTGCTTCCTCAGTAGCTTGCTCATTTCTTTGTTGTCATCGGTGAAAGTTCCATCTCCCTTTTGCAGGGGCCCGATACTAGATGTGGTTTTGGATCTTGATTTTGCATAGGAGAAAAAATATTTAGGATTTCTCTCTATTTCACTGATGGCCTTTTGCTCTCTTTGTACGATTCTTGTAGCTTGAGTTCAATTGTTTCTATTTCTCTACCTAACTTTCTTTGCCGTTCTTGAGATAGGGTGCAACTTTCAAGTTGTGCCGCGCTTCGGTTTCTTCGCCTATATAGGGAACGACGTTCCTGTTCCAATCTGCATCTCATCCTCTTTTTTTCTTAGGGGTATGTGGTTTGAACATATTTCTAGTGCTACTGAGCTTATTTTTTCCAGGCACTAATTCAGGTTTGCATTTTCTAGCTGTTCTTCCCAGTTTATTTCTGTGAAGTCCTGGTTTATTTGCTCCCAGTTTATCTGTTTATTATTGAAGTTGAATTTGCTAAAATCTCCTCCACCGGGAATCAGGACTGGTTTTGAAGGTCTATTCCCCATGGTTGTCATAATTTCCATTAAGTTGTGATCTGAGTAACAGGTATTTGTAATCATTATGTTCCTGATCAATTCATCATTATTAGTGAAAATGAGGTCCAGCGTGTTCTCCTTCCTAGTTGGTTCTACTATTTGCTGGTTTAAGGCAAACCTGTCGCACATCCGTAGCAGGTCATTTGCATGTGCCTGTTCATTTAGGCTACTTCCTGGTATTCCTTCTGATATTACTGTATTAGCCAGGGGCTTCCATTTCAGGTGCCGTAGGTTGAAGTCCTAAAGCAGGATGATGTTCGGAGCTGGATTTGTGAGGTTTTCCAAGCAGTGTTCTATTTTCATTAGTTGGTCTTTAAACTGCTGAGGGTTTGCCTCCGGTGACTTATATACAAGGACAACTACATTTAGGATCTCTATTTTGACTATCAGCACTTCCACCATATCATTTGAGGTGTTTAGCAGCTCAGTACAGATGAGTGTGTCTTTGATGTAGAGGCTGACCCCACCCTGAAGCCGGTGTTTCCTATCACATCTGAAGAGATTGTACTCCGAGATCCATATTTCACCATCAAGGTAGTCCTTTGTGTGAGTTTCCGTTAGGGCTGCAAACACTGCATTTGCCTCATGAAGGAGACCATCTATAAAGTGAACTTTGTTGGATTTGCGTGTTTTTATACCCTGGATGTTGGCAAATATAAATGATGTTATCGTGTTAGTGGAAGTGCTGGATGCCTTACTTGGTGTTAATATCTGAGGCTCTGGTAAGGAGGCCACTGTGTTTGCGTCCTCTCTAGCATTTGACCGAGTTGGTGGTAGAGTCTGGTCATTTTTAGCCATTCTTCTCCTCCTCCTGCTAAAATATTACCCCGGTCGATGGAGTAGTGACTGTTTTCATAGTGGCGGTCTGTCGGTTTTATTCGCCTGGTACCTCTTATATGAAAAGCTGGACATTCAGCATTGAAGCACTCTTTCCTGTCCAAAGAGTTCTTTCAAATTTCTGGGTGAAAGAATTCACAGCTTTTGGTACATTTACCTGTATTGAGGAGGTTTCTGCATCTTCTAGGGTGATCGTATGTACATGTTCCACTTGTTCTTCCCGATTCCCCATGCTCCCCCCTACCCCTCAACCTCCCTACCACTCAACCTTCCCCTACCACTCAACCTTCCCCTACCACTCAACCTTCCCCTACCACTCAACCTTCCCCTACCACTCAACCTTCCCCTACCCCTCAACCTCCCCCTACCCTTCAACCTCCCCCTACCCTTCAACCTCCCCCCATTTGGTAGGGTTGTAAAGGCTGGTAAAGGTTTCAACCTTTCCCCCAGGTAGTCCATTTGTAATACCAACAGATTTTGGGTCCTTGTTTTGTTTGTTTCCCTTTAGGGAAGGTAGGGGGAGGATGAGGGGTAGGGGAAGGTTGAGGGGGGTAGGGGAAGGTTGAGGGGGTAGGGAAACGTTGAGTGGTAGGGGGAGGTTGAGGGGCAGGGGGGAGGTTGAGGGGAAAGGGAGGTTGAGGTGTAGGGGGAGGTTGAGGGGTAGGGGAAGGTTGAGGGGGGTAGGGGAAGGTTGAGGGGGGTAGGGGAAGGTTGAGGGGGGTAGGGGAAGGTTGAGGGGGGTAGGGGAAGGTTGAGGGGGGTAGGGGGGAGGTTGAGGGGCAGGGGGGAGGTTGAGGGGTAGGGGGGAGGTTGAGGGGAAGGGGAGGTTGAGGTGTAGGGGGAGGATGAGGGGTAGTGGAAGGTTGAGGGGTAGGGGGAGGTTGAGGGGTAGGGGGGAGGTTGAGGGGTAGGGGGGAGGTTGAGGGGTAGGGGGGAGGTTGAGGGGAAGGGGAGGTTGAGGTGTAGGGGGAGGATGAGGGGTAGTGGAAGGTTGAGGGGTAGGGGGGAGGTTGAGGGGTAGGGGGGAGGTTGAGGGGTAGGGGGGAGGTTGAGGGGTAGGGGGGAGGTTGAGGGGTAGGGGGGAGGTTGAGGGGAGAGGTTGAGGTGTAGGGGGAGGTTGAGGTGTAGGGGGAGGATGAGGGGTAGTGGAAGGTTGAGGAGTAGGGGGGAGGTTGAGGGGTAGGGGGGAGGTTGAGGGGAAGGGGAGGTTGAGGTGTAGGGGGAGGATGAGGGGTAGTGGAAGGTTGAGGGGTAGGGGGAGGTTGAGGGGTAGGGGGGAAGTTGAGGTGTAGGGGGGAAGTTGAGGTGTAGGGGGGAAGTTGAGGTGTAGGGGGGAAGTTGAGGGGTAGGGGGGAGGTTGAGGGGTAGGGGGGAGGTTGAGGGGTAGGGGGGAGGTTGAGGGGTAGGGGGGAGGTTGAGGGGTAGGGGGGAGGTTGAGGGGTAGGGGGGAGGTTGAGGGGTAGGGGGGAGGTTGAGGGGTAGGGGGGAGGTTGAGGGGTAGGGGGGAGGTTGAGGGGTAGGGGGGAGGTTGAGGGGTAGGGGGGAGGTTGAGGGGTAGGGGGGAGGTTGAGGGGTAGGGGGGAGGTTGAGGGGTAGGGGGGAGGTTGAGG